CTGAAAGGAGATGATACCTTTTTGTAACAAACTCATACAGTGAACAAACTGCCTTACTAAGGCAGTCACATCCCCCAAAATTGCATATGTTGGAGCCTGAAACCCCAATGTTATTGTATTAGGAAATAGAGCCTTTGTAAGGAAATTAGGTTTCAATGAGGTCATGAGGATGGCCGCCATGATGAGATCCGTGTCCTTGTAAGAAGAAAAGACACCAGAGTTCACTTACTCGCTCATATGAGGACATGATAAGAAGGTGGCCATGTACAAGCCAGGAAGAGAGCCTTTTTCAGGAACCATATCAGCCGACAACTTGATCTGGGAACAGTAATAAATGTCTCTCGTTTAAGCCACTTGGTCTACAGCAGCTACAGCTAGAAAGCCCAGAAGCTGCCTGAGACAAGTACACATCAGAAGAAAGGCAGGGAGAGAGGGTCAGTGTTTTAGTCTGTTCAGGCTGCTAAAACAAAATGCCTTACACTAGTTAATTCAGAAACAACAGAATTCTATTGCTTACAGTTCTAGAGGCTAAGAATCCCAAGATTAAGGTGCTAGCAGATTTGGTATCTGGTGAGGGTTCATTCTTTGCACAGGGTTTCTTCTATATGTCCTCGCATGATAGAAGGGACCAACAGGCTCTCTCAGACCTCTTTTATAAGAGTACTAATATTATTCATGAGGGAAGAGCTCTTCCAAATGAATCCCTGCCTAGATGCCCCAGCTCTCAACACCACTGGCCTGGGGATTAAGTTTCAATGAATGAACTGTTGAGGGACACAAACATTCAGACCATTACAACCAGAAATATTTTTGAGGCTACTTATTAGAAGGCCACCCCATGCTCCATCATATCAGGTACCTTTGGATGGTAGAGAACATGGAAACCCCATTGAAGATGTCCACTATCAGCTGATAGCTTTTTAATAAAAGGCACATGATTGTCAGGCTGAAAGCCAACAGCAGACATACATTAGTCTTAAAGGTGATAATAGTGTGGTCAGAGTTGACTCACCAGACCAAAGCTACAAACTGACAGACCAGAGCTGCAGCTCTCTTTCCTGAGAACGTGTCGGCAGCAGTGAGGCAGTGCCAGCCCTGAAAGTCAGTCTTCCAGGAGCAGGCAGGAGCAGCATCTCAAGCAACACATCCTCCTTGTCCATGAGACAGTGAGTTGAGGATACATACAGTGGCAACCTCTGCATCCGAATATAAAATCCTTCACTTCTACCCCTCTGTGATGGTGAGAGTATGGCTATGTGTGGCTGGTAAGGGCTCAGGCATCCATTGTCAGTCTAGGAGGTGCAGGCTCCACAGGTCATCTCATCAGAGGACAAAGCTCACTATGTACATTGATGTGAGTGGCCAAGATATTTGGATCAGCAGTTTCAATTTGCTATCCCGTTTTGTGGTCCCAAAGAAGGATGACTTTAATCTACCAGTCTGTAGTTTCCCAAAAGGCAGACCAAATTGCCAGGTGATTGACAATATCCCAAGAATCAGTAAAAATATAATAACCTTCATCAATGAATGTTGGCTAGATCTATGAGTACAGCCTCAAGTCCTGCCCAGTGAACAGATGGCCAGCTCTGCTTCCAGTCCTGCATAGCTGGTGCTGGAGCGAATGGCTGCTCAACCCAGTGAATGCCACCAGATTACAGCTTAGTGGAGGCATCAGTAATCCAGGTCTAGGGATTTAGGGGACTCTGTGTATCAAGAGCCCCACAGGGTCAGCAGTTTTACTTTGGGCAGCAGTGTAGGGGATAGTTTCCTTCAAAGGGATTTGTTTTCACTTTTTCATGTAATCCCAAAATGCCACTGGGACCAAGCCAGCTCTATTCTTGGATGCCATTTCCATTTGACAAGTGATAGACCCATGAGTCTCTCATGAACAATCGTAACAACTATAAACAAAACAAAAAAAAATAGCAAATTTAACCCATCAATACATTATAACAAAGTTGGATTTATTCCAGGAATGTGAGTTGGATTGATATTCAAAAAAATAATCCATTGACCATCTCCTGCTTCCAGGAGCAATGGAATAGCTAATGATAAACCTGCCTGTTTGCCTGCCACAATGAAAAAAGAGAGAGAAATGTAGAACTTCCTTTAGAAGAGCATCTGAAAGCTGCTACAGCACTTAGAATTAAAAGGGGTAAGAAACTGGAGACAGGAAAACCTGAGAAGTAAGCCCGAAGATGTAGTTGCTTTTACTCTGAGAGTTGTTGCAAAATGGGGTGGAGGGAAAGATTTTGGTGACACTCAGGAATTTTAGGTATATATCAGCCTTGCCTGTAAATGACTTTTTTGAAAGATTTTCCCTGAGGTCCTTTGCTGAACAGAGCTGAAGTGACTAAAAACCTGATCAGAAAGCCTTAGAAATGAAGCAGAATTTGGAACCACTATAGGGAGATTACAAAGTATAATAATTCTTATTTGAAAATAGAGATAATGTCTCTCTGTGGCAGAGGACAGGTGTGTTCACTGTTCACCAAAATAAAGATAATGTCTCCCTCCAGAACAAAGTTTGGAAAGGTTTGCTTGCAGTCTATTGTAAAAGTGTAGCATTCATTAAGCTTGAGGTTCCCCAACAGTAACACAAACTCACTAAGTGTACCATGTCCACCTGTGCCTGCTTCTGAACCACCCCTGTGAGATTTGGGGATGCGAGGATCTGACATAAATATGAGGCTCATGCTTTGCTGTGCTGTAATGATGTACATTGTGAGATGATTACCCGCATTAGGTTGATTGGCACATCCATCACCTCACACAGTTACCCTTTTTGGTGTGTGAGAACATTTAATATCTATGCCTTAGCAAATTTCAACTATACAATATGGCATTAACAACTGTGGTCTATAATAGACCTACAGAACTTATTCATTCTGTACAAATGAGACTCTGTATTTTGGAATATCTAGATCATTCATATTTAATGATTTAGTTCATTCATATTTAAATACTGATATGTTAATTTAAATCTATTATCTTGGTTTAAATCTAAATGTTATCTTGCTATTTATTTGTTCCTTTTTTAACTCTTTCTTGTACTCTCTTGAATTATTTAAGAATATTTACTATTCTCTTTTCTCCTCTGTTAGCTTGTTGGTTTGGGGGTGGGTATCCCACAGGTTATAAAATGCATCTTTGAATTATTAGAATTTACTTAGGAATAGATCTTAGTACTTTTACCACTTCCTGGCCAATGTATGGACCATAAGATTTATGTCATTTATTACACATTGTCGTATTTTGTGCTACTGCTGTCATTTGTTTTAATTCTACGTGTGACTTAATTCCCAAAAGACATTGCTGGTGTCACTTTAAGCAGTCAGTATCTATTTACATTTACCAACATTTTTGCCCTTTCAAATCTTTTATTCCTTTTGTATAATCCTGCTTTCATCCAGGATCGTTTTCCTTCTACCTTTTATATTTTTACTGTAGGTCCAGTGGTAATAAATTCTGTGTTTATCTGAAATACAAAATTCTAGATGGTAATAATTTCCTTTCTACAAGAAACCTTGCTAAGATTTTGATAGGAATTGCTATTAACCTAGAGTCAATTTGGATCGAACTCACATCTTTACTATGTTGAGTGTTTTCTAATTCATAAACAGTATGTATTTCCATTTGTTTTAGATCTTCTTTGATTTCTTTCATGAGAATTTTATAGTTTTTAGCATATAAGTACTGACACTTGTGTTAGATCTATACCTAAGTCATTTTTGAGTGATTATAAATGGTATTATAATCTTAGAATTCCCATGTATTCATTGCTAGTGTATAGAAATACAGTTGATCTGTATGTATTGATCTCATATCCTGAGACCTTGACAAAATAACTAATTTTAGGAGTTCTTTTTTAAGTTTCCATCTGATTTTCTACATAAACCCTGGCATTTGTCAATAAGAATAGTGTTATATCTTCCTTTCTAATCTGTAACTAAAGGTTCTACTTTATTTTCTTTCTTTTTTATTTATTTTTTTTTTTTACTTGCTTCACTGGCTATGACTTCTGGTACTAGTAGAATAGCAATTGTGAGAGTGGATATCCTCACCTTTTCCCCACACTTAGAAGTAAAGCATTCAATCTCCCTCCACTAAGTAAGATGTTAGCTATATGGTTGGTATATGTTGTTTATCAAGTTAAGGAAGCTTCCTTCTTTTCCTCATTTTATGAAAGTTTTAATCATGAATGAGAATCTAATTTTATATCAAATGCTTTTTCTCCATTCATGCTATGACTATGTGGTTCTTTTTTTTCTGTAGTTTGTTACTATGTATATTAATTGATTAATTTTAAAATATTAATCCAGCCTTGCATCCCTAGAATAATTGGTCATATTGTACAAACCTTTGTATATATTGCTAAGTGCTATTTTGTTACAATTCTTTGTATATATTGCTAAGTTTATATTTTGTTAACAATTTTCCAGCATGTCCAGGAAAAATATTATTCTACACTTTTCTCTTTTTGTACTTTCTTCATTGGATTTTGGTGTCAGGGTAATACTGGCTGTTTTCTAGAATAAATTGTATGGGGTTGGGTTTTGAGGGTAACTCTAATAGCGGTTGATTGGTGGTAGTTCTAACTATTACATATATACATATATACCTTTTCAAAGATTACTGGAGTTGACATTTAACCACATTTAGTGAAACCTATAACTCTTTCCTGCCTTTTTGTTTCTTCATCCTCCACCCTTCATAATATGATTGCCTTAAATATGAACTGGGTATATATTGAGACATACAATGTTATAATTTTTGTTTCTACCATTAAATATAATTTAGAAAACTCTTGTTTTCTAAACTCATATTTGCTCCTATTTTTGCTCTTTTTTTATTTGAGAAAAGGTGGCCACAATGCTCTATCTTCCCACTGAGATTCTTTAGAAAATCTTTCACTGATGTTTTGTGATTGCTTAGCAAACACACTTCTGGTGATCCCTGCCTTTTCTAGGCTTCTGTTCTAAGGTGAACTTCTGTTCCAGGTCGCCTGAACTGGTGGTCCACCGTGTGCACGAGCTGTAAACGGCTTCTTCCTTTGGCCACGACAGGGGATGGGAACTGCCTTTTACATGCCGCCTCACTGGGTAAGCTCTGCAGCACAGACAGAGTGGCAGGGCTCCAGGCCTTCTCAATGCATGGTTAAAGCACAGACATATGCTAAGCAGAGCCAACCATGTCACTATCATTTGGAAGAGTTCCCATGAGATGGAGTCAATAATACTGGCCCTTCTGGTCAAGTAACTCACTGGGTTGATGGACAGATGAAACACATGTTAGAAAAGACCTGTCATAATAAAAGAGGCCTTGAGTAGAACTTCAGGTACGAGAATTAGAGACCCTGGCCTAAAATAATCCAAGAGGATTTCCTAGAAGAGTCAAGATCTTTACTGAAACTTGAAGAACCAAAAAGAGTAGAAAAGAGGACATTCCAGGCAGGGAGACCAGAGAAATAAAGTACAAAGGCAGGAATAAAAAGGGTGTTTAGAGGCAGAACACAAGGTGGGGTTCTAGCAGGAGGATTGGGAGGCAGTACACGAGGTTGGGTAATGGTGGGACCACCATATTGACAGCAATCTATAACGAATCTGAACTGATAAGAAGATAGGCATAGGTATTGCTTAGGGGAATTACCATGGTCAGAATATACAGCAGACATATCAGCGAGCTTCCCCAATAGGAAAAAAATATTTGCAGGTACATAGGTATGGGTGGCAATATTTGGCAATATTGGGATAATTGAGAGTTATAATGGACTTTCTCGAAGTTCAGTCATTCTCTTTAGGTCCTGCTTACATGCACAAGGCCAAATTCATTTTAAAAAGCAAGTCTGAATTTGCACCAGTGGCCTCACTATCAGGCCAGTTATTTCTCTTCAGTCCTGGAGAACATAATCTCTGTCCAGGCAATGGGGCTCTCGAACAAGAATGTGGTCTTTGGTGGGCAAAACCACCTTCCCAGGTGAATGTGGCCTTAACAGGTACTGTGACCCAGAGCAATGGCTAGGCCCCAGACCCATCTAGACTTCAGTAAGAGGTGGATGAAGATCAGATTGAACAGGGTTTTAAGGTAAATGCATCAGGGTCTGAGAAGGATGTAGAGAGGCCCAGTGGAGTATGGCAACTGAGAGTAAGAGGAACATTTCATGGACTTGATGATGCTGAAGTCAAAGGCATCCACCTGCCTCCTCCCTTTCCATGAAAACTATTATATCTGATTTGTTTTGTTTGGTTGGCATTGAAATGCATTCTACACTTACCATGGTAAGAAAATAAAAATCAATAACCCCACCACTCATTGTTGACCTCTTTTAATATTTTAGTATCTTGTCTTCTCATCTTTTATCTATTCTTAAAGTAAAATTATAATCTCACTAGTTTACAGCTTGGAATTTGTTATTTTCCATTTATATTTTTTTAAATATGCCTTTTACTTTAACATAAATTAATCATCATATAATAATTGTACATATTTATGAGGTATAGTAATCTTAAATTTTTTGGAGAATTTTCCATGCTATTCTGCAAAAAATGTGATTTAGTATTTGGGTCATATTTCATTACAATATTTAATACCAACTATTCTACTTTTATTGAATGCATTTTACTTTGTTTTCTATAAAACCTGGAGAAAGAATATAAGAGAAGAAATCTCTCATCTATGTCAAACAGAGGCCTTGTTGCAATGGCTTTATCCTTCAGATACTGCAGTATACAGAGTCACTATTCCCATCAGCACCACAAGTGGGAAGGCCACATGCCACTGTGGAGTCTTCTGATGGCACTTACCCCATGAGCACAAAGGGACTGCTAGGCCTGCCTGGGAAGAGCAGTCTTCCCCTGGGCCTTGCTCTATCTGTGGGAGGACTAAGCCATGACTGACCAGGGTTGCAAGGCTCTCCTCTGAGAATCCCCCACAATACAATAAGCTCAGACCTAAAAGGCAGCTGGCCCTTTTTCCCAGTATGGGTTAAAGCATTCCAAATCTCAAAATCCAAATTGTCCCCAAATCTGGGAATTTTATTTAGAACCAAGATGACACAAGTGGAAAATTCCACACTATGAAACATTGTTCCATGTTCAAAAATATTAAAAGTATTATATAAATCACCTTCAGGTATGTGTATAAAGAATATATGGAACATATTTTAAAATCTGAACAAATCCAAAATCTAAAACATTTCTGATCCCAAGAATTTCAGATAAGGGATATTCAACCTTTACTTTGTTTTCATTTTTGTGCTTGCATAGCTAAACTCCACAGAACCAGGACTGCCAAAAGGCCATGTGACATCCACCAGCAATGCCCGTTGAACAGCTGAGAGGGCCTAATGTTACACTGGGATTATTGGGCACACATAAAAATGACAGTGATCCTGGAGTCAGGCCTGGGGGCAGCCTTGTATGGGACAAGGAGACCCTCTGTGTGAGAGAGACTGCACTAAGATCCATGGGAGCTGAGAATGCTCAGAGCCCCAGAAGACAGCTAAAACAGTCAGAGAATGAGTAAGGAGCAATGAAGGCTGTGTCCTCTGTCTGTCCTGTAGAGAAAGATAAAAGCCTGCCTACTAGAAAGCCCACAGCAGTCTCTGATTATTGCTTACCCAAGGATCAAAGCCAGCCTGAGCCTTTACAAACAGCAATCAGTTAAGGTCAAACTCTCCAGAGGCTCCAGCTCACTTGAAAGCCTGCCTGTTTCCTTGTTGCCATGTCCCCTTCATCCTAGCACCAGCCACCTTTCCCTCTTGCCTTTTCTCAAGGGCACCATATGGACCACTCATTTGGCAGAGGGGCCATCCCTAGCCTTTCCCTCCACCTGGGATAGCATCTCAGCTCCTTCCTTCACTCTTTTGAACCTTTGCTCTGATGTCTCCATCCATTCACACCATAACAAATGCACCTGCCACTCTGTCTTCTTCATCTGCTTTATCATTCCTTCTTGTGTTGACATTGTACATTGTGCAGTGATTTAATGATTGCCTTACTTACTACTTTCCTACAACGTGTGCTGTCAGGTTTTAGGATCTTCATGTGTCTTAGTCCCTGCTATACACATTCCTAGCACCTTGGATGGATGGATGGATGGATGGATGGATGGATGGATGGAAGAATTTACCCAATTTTTCCCCTATAGCTAGGGCTGTACACCTCTTCAGCGCTTATCCCATTGGTTGGGTTTCTTGACCACATCTGAGCTGCCCAGAGCATGTACTCAGAGATGGCTGGCATATCTTTATAGCTCCTCAGCACCCACTACAGGTGAGAGACCTTCTCCTGGGGAGGCAGGTGCCCTTTCCTGGCTCAGATGCATGCAGTGGCATCCACTGACAGTCTTCTTATGAATTTGAGATGCCCTTGAACATCAAATCTGGAAGAACCTTGGAGAAGCCAGAATGATATTGGTCATCCCAGCATGGGGCCCTCGGTGAGGACATATCATCAACTTGTCTTCAAAGGCAGTCCCTCACCCAAACACAAGACCTAGACAGTGAACACTTGGTCTCTTAAAGCAAACCTGCAGAATTGGGGGTGAACAGCCAAAGAGAGTCAGTAGTCACTTTTCACCCACTATTGTTTCACTAAGAAGTATTTGCACTACTTCCTTCACCCATTTGAGCTTAGGGAAGCATTGGCAAAAGGAGAGGAACTCTGAATGATGACAACTAAACAGCTAACTGGCATGTTATTACCTTTGTCTGTGCAGACACAGGAGGCCATCCTGGTAGGTAGGAGAATTTGAGTTTCTTCTAGCTTTCACCTTCCTTATGTCCTTTCTCTATTCTTTGCTCCTTATGGTCCCCTGGCTGCAGGAATGTGGGGGTTTCATGATCGGGACCTGGTTTTACGAAAAGCTCTCTACACCATGATGAGGACGGGTGCTGAGCGGGAAGCCCTGAAGCGGAGGTGGAGGTGGCAACAGACACAGCAGAACAAGGAGGTTGGTATCTGAGAACCTGGTTGGAGTCCAGGATCCATACCAGAGGCAGCCTTGAGCCATACTGGAGTCCAAAGTTGGCCTCAAATCCAAGTCCATCTTGTAAGGCCAGGAATAGACAGCTTCTGGGATTAATGAGATTCCCCCACTCAACCTCATGGCAGAGGAGCCTCATTACAACAGCACAGCCTTGTGGATGCAGCAATATGCTCATGGCTTGCCAATTAGGAAAGCCACCACCTTCACTCTCAAGTGTCCCAACGTTGATGATGAATTATGTGGTCACCTACTAGCAGGTACAGACTATGGATTTCCAGTCCCTGTGTGTGAGCTCAATCCAGAGAGATTACCAAGTGTCCCTTACCACGGGGAACATTAGCACTTTGCTCTTTTCGAAGAATCTGCCTTCTTTCTGATTAAAGTTGGCCTACTGACTCTTCAAAAAACTGAATGGTCAGCCCCCAGCCAAGCATATGTGTAGGCTAATGTTTCCTCATTCCCATCCCTAGGAATGACCCTTGCTAGTGGTAGACTCTTATTAGCTCTAAAATTAGAGACTACGGCTTCTGAAAATATATAGTCCAAACAAAAGGTGACCATTAGAGGACATTAATAGCTGTTCAGCTGGGTGACTCAGTGTGGCTTTGACCAAGCCCATTGATCAGGTGTGGCTGCAAGTGTGGAGAGGGGAGATGAGGGCATTGCTGCTATGGCCTTCCCAACTCCTGAACCGGCTTCCATTTGTGCTAGTCAGGGCTGGTGTACACAGAGGAGGAGTGGGAGCGAGAGTGGACGGAGCTGCTGAAGCTGGCCTCCAGCGAGCCACGTACACATTTCAGCAAGAATGGTGGCACAGGTGGAGGGTAAGTGCTGTCCTCTCTATTCTCTGAGGGTTATCTTGAGCTCCCAGCCACCTTAGGGCTTCACACAGCATGGGAGTGGTAAAGACACAGTGTGGTACCCAAAAGCTGTGGAAGAAAGAAAGGTTGCAATTTTCAAATATTAGATTTTGAATGAGGCTGCATGGGAGGTTGTAGGGGACAGCTGGATCCTGCCAGATACTGGGAGGTGTACCAACCTCCATACGTATTTTGCAAGCAGACTCAAGCTGACATAAGCTTCTCGGTCCCATTTCCTTAAGCCTCATTATGCAGAGCAGGCACTGTCAGGGAGGGGACTGAGGGCATAAGCAGCCCCTGGAGGGAGCCTATGACAGTGGTCATTTCCACACACTGCCACTGCATGAATCAGGTTCTGAATGCCCTAGCTGCTGGGTCTGGGTTTTATTTCCTAACTAAATATCTATGTAATCTTTGGTTTCAAGTCACACAGAAAGCCAAAATATCATTTAATTTACCTAGCATTTCTCAGCTACGCTCTGTGGATATTATATATGTTTCTAGCAAAAGGCTTCACATGTTCAATGTGCATTTAGGAGTAGCATGTTCCTGAAGGCTCTGCTCAAATGTTCCAGTGTGGGAATGAAGAGCTGGCCTGAAAAACAGGGCAGACGTAATGTTCCAAAGGGTGTGTGTTTTGGTTCATGCTGTTTTGAACCTGATGGCAAGTGTTGCCCCCAGGAAAGTTCTCAGAAAAACAACGGAAAGTGTAAGCATTGACACTAAAGAGACCTGCAAAAGGATCAGAGAGTATGTGTAGCTCATGGCCAGCCTCAGACTCACAGGCCTAGAAAAAGCTGTCTGGGTCCTCACACACCCGCCACAGTGGAGCCTGGTGCCTCCTGGGCCCACCCCTCATTTGAGTCTCCCAGCTATCAAACAGGTTCCAATGGGGCCCACAACAGCAGCAGCAGCAGCAGCTTAGACTGTGTTCCAAGATTAGATACTTTAGATACGGAACTCCACAAACACAGTTTCTACAGAATTGTTTGTCACTTTTTTTAATGATGTGACATGTCAGTATCAACAATCCATCTTATAGAGGGGCGAGCATGTTTGAATGTTTGGAGACAGGCATCCTGAAGACTTAGTTCCAAAGCACATAATTCTTTTCTTCTTCACATCTCCCAGGTCCCACCCTGATGGGTTTCAGGCATTCCTCAGCATCTGTTTCACTGTGCTGCATCTGCCACAGGGTAGTTATCTGATAAATTCTGGAGAATTGGATTTAGTCCAAATATTTCTACCAGGATACAGGAGTGGTTGGGAAAAATAGCAGCAATAATAACAATAATAATAAGTATATTAGTCTGTTTTCCATTGCTATAACAAAATACCTGAAGCTAGGTACTTAGGAAGAAACGTGATTTATTTAGCTCATAATTTTGGAGGCTGAAAGTCCAAAGAGCATAGCAATGGCTCTGGTGAGGGACTCCCTGACTGTTTGATCATAGTGGATGATGCCATGGTGGGAGGGCATACACAAAGGAGAAACCACATGACAATAGAGGAACCCAGAGCTCAGGAAGGAGCCAGACTTGCTCTTTTTATAACAGCCCTCTAGAGAGAACTAACTCAAGGTCCCATGAAAACTGCCTTGATTCTCCTTCAATGACCTAACAACCTCCCACTAGCCCTCTCCCCTTAAAAAAGGTTCCACCATCTTCCATAATTGCCACATTGAGGACCAAGCTTCTTACACATGAACCCTTGGAGGACACACTTAAGCGATCTGTAAACCATAGCAATGAGTAACTATCACCACATATATGTGCCTCCTGAGACCCCCATTCAGGAGGGTTTGCCCATAGCCCCATGGCTGGTCCAGCCCATCTAACTTCTAAGCCACAGCCTCAGTTTCTGCTGCCTGCTTTCTTGAACTTAGAGGATTCTGATGGGAATGGAGGTAGAAGGAGTACTGGAATTGAGCTCCACCCCTCCTTTAGAAGCAGAACAGACAGCAGCAGAGAAGGCCTCCTCAGTGATGGACAGCAGCTCTTGTTCTCTATTGGTTCTACTCTTTCTTCCACCCTGAGAATGAGTGGGGAGTGGGGGCACTTGGGCCAGGTGACTGCTCTCCTGCCTTCAGGAAGGCTGTTTTGGTGTTCCTGAGACCTGCTCTGATCCTGTTAGTCAAGCAGGAGTTGTCATGTGCCTCTACGGGCCTCCCCCTCCTCTTAGGACTCCTGAAGATTTTGTTGGACCACTGGCACCCCCTTCACCAGTTCAGTTTCTATTGTAATGATTAAAATGTTCCTGGTCAGGAGCAATGAATGACAGATGAAGGATGTTGTTTTTCCCAGGGTAGTTCCTGGTCTTTTGAGTCTCCCACTCTACTGTTACAGGGACCAGCAGGTTTGGGAAACAGCAAGACTGAAGACACTGCTGCCTTCTTCCATCAGGTAGAATAAGGACAAGGAGAGAGACAGTACCAGCCAGCGCAGCCACTAGGGCCGCAGGAACCCTCCTGCCTCTGTCCATCTTCCCAGACCAGGGCAAGGAGACGCTGTCCAGCATGTGCCTAAAAGCCCTTGTGGCTAGTTTCACCTGGGTTTTCAGTGGCTCCTAAGGCTCAAATCCATCCCCCAACTGCATGGCCTTCTCATGCAGGGCTCAGGTTGTCAGGCCCAATGTCTGCAGCCTACACTGGATAGTGACCCAGACTCACAGCAGTTAGTAAGTCCCAGCAGCGACACAGAGCCAGGGCCATCCACAGTGGTGCCCTGGCACTATTGAGACACACCTCTTAAATCACCACTCTCATTAGACAATCTCACTTTTTGTTCTTTACACTTCTGTACTTTTTTTTTCTTTTGACAATGAATGTGAATCACTTCCATAACCTAAAATTACCAATACAAGTACCTGTTCATAAAACATTAAATGGTAGGGTCTGAGTACTCAATCACAACCTAACAAAAGGATTTAGGTGCCTTTATGAATCTCTAAGATGACCCAGGCATTGTCCATGTTTGTACGAAAATGTCCCCATGCCTGGGATTCACAGTTCTGGTTACACCTCACAGGAAAGAATGAAGAATCTGTAGAAAATTCATAGAGAAGAAACCAGCAATCAAGGGTGGGATGTGTATGTTCTTATTTAAAGAATGAAACTCTAGGTTCTATTGAGGGACAGAGATAGAAAGTATGGTTGATATTGAGGGTCTGAAGGAAGTGGGTGAGACCCAGGAGCATGGGCTGGCAGCAGAGACCATGGCTCCATACCCCTCCCATCAAACCCTGTCCTGCAAACCTGGGCACCCCTTTCATAGACTAGAAAACTGAGCCTCAGTGGGATGAAATGACCTTTCCAAGATCACAAAAATGATAATTGGAGGCGCCAAGAAGTAGGAATTTAGTCTATTTTTAAGTGTCCTTTTGGGAGTGTGTCACACAACCCAACAAAATCTCTTAAATACAACACAGTTTATAAAAACTTAGATGATGGATCATCCTGAAAACAAAGCCACCCCTCGGGGTTGGGGCAACAGGAGCAAGGACACAATCACTCCAGTCCCCATATCTGAACGCTCAATTTAGAATCCTGAGCCAGTGATGTAGGGCTACTTCTAGGGTGTTAGTAATAGGTTTACTTTCCAGTGGAGAAAGAAAAATACCAAAAAAAAAAAATTATATCACTATGGGGCATACTACAAATGCTTCTAAGTTTTTGGTGCTCCTAGATAGAGTTGGAATCTTCACATTCCCGTAAAGCCATACTTCAAGTCCAGGTGTTCTGCTCCTAGGTGTCTTTTTCTCTGTAGCTCATAAATCTTTATCTCTATGAGTCCCAAAAAAACTGGAGTCTTGCTCCTCTCTGACATTGAGTTCTGTGAATGACGAAATAATGCCACCTTCTTTTCTGGTCCAGTCTTCCACGATGATTATGCTCAAGCTCTCTAAAGTTTGGTGTCCTCTTTTATAATCACCAAAAACATGGAAGCGCCAGAATATCTTTCTGATTCAAGATTTTGGAAGTCATAACTCTAGAAAACATGAATTTTAGGTGCTTCTGTTTTTATTCTATTTACTTGCATGTCAAGAACAGGATAGTGCCAGGTGCAGTAGCACCTATAATCCCAGCAGCTTGGGAGGCAGAGACAGGAGGATTGCAAGTTCAAAGCCAACCTCAGCAAAAAGTGAGGCATGAAGCAACTCAGTGAAACCCTGTCTCTAAATAAAATACAAATTAGGGTTGGGGATGTGGCTCAGTGGTTTGATGCTGACACCCCCCACCCCTCCAAGAAAAGAAAGTTCTTGTGTAGGAAGTGACCCATGGGATAAGAAAACAAGGGACATGTCTGCAAGTCACTCAAAGGTTGATTTTACAAGAGATACATTTATTTAATGTATATATGCAAACTCTTCAATAACATGGATTTAATCTGTGATGCACATCTTGGGGGCTGGGGCAGACTTTACCTCTGCATTGTTTCTTTCAGGTTCCACTTGTTGGTTTGTTTCTTGTCCAGAGAGATGTTTCCCTGAAGTACACACAGCCCCGTTCTGAGCATCAGCTCTTTTGAGATTTCATTATATTTTATTTTGTCTGCCCATTCAGACTGCAGCATCCTCATGGTGCAGTCCAACCAAACCCTTTCTTTTGATTCTCTTTCAAACCCTAGCTCAATGCTAGGGACATAGTCCTGTAAGTACATAAAAGAGTTAGAACCAGGGCCAGGAGGCATGGAGCTGACCACTCTCCTCAAGCCACACACACCATCACTCAGATCCAATACATGAGGAGACAGGGAACAAAGCTTAGTCCCCACTGATGGGTGCTCATCCATTTCCCTGCACAGACTTTGTCTGAGAGTCAGAGTAGGGAGGGCTGGCTCTCTCAGGGGGCCAGGATTCCCCAGAGATTGGAGAAGGTTTAGTGTGGTTAAATAGGAATTAGAACAGTACCACATACTGAGCTCCAGTTGCATGTCAGGTAGGTGTTTGAAGCTGTTATTATCATTGCCAAGAACTGAGAAAGAATCATAGATTCAAAATATTAAGTTATATATTAGTATTCTCCAGAGAAATAGAAAAAAATATATACATATATCTTATTGTAGGGGTGTGTGTGTGTGTATGTGTATATGTGTGTGTAAGACCTTTCTGTCACCTTCAGGGTCACTGAGCAGTTTCTCTTTTGCTGAGATGGCACCTGTGTTCAACAGCTGCTGCCCATGTCCAGCCACAAGCCTGCATGCTAGGCATGACCCAACTCCATGCCCTAGCCCTGTTATAGCACTGGGATGGGCAGGGAGTGGGTGGATGAGCAGATGAATGGATGAGTGGACAGTTGGGGAATGTATAGATGGATGGATAAATGAGTGGATAGATGCCTGTGACATGAGGTCTAGTTAACCTGAAGGCCTTTAGAGTGCCTTTCATAGCAACAACACATATTAAATGTTCAATGAACATTTGCTGTTTTTTCAGTTTGAAACACAATGACCTACTTCAAATTTTGCACGAGAAGAATGCCATGCCAGTACAGTGGTGCCTAGTACTTAGCCCTTTTGCTGTTGTTACAGTGGGGTCCCTCTGCATAGCCATTCAGATGCCAGAGTGTTCCATCATGGAGCGGCCTTCCTTCTTTCAGCTCAATATCTGACTCATGAACAGCTCATCTCTTTTCGATGGTGACCTTTCTATTCATTGAATTAGGGAAGGAGCAGTACTCCACATTTCTAATCAGAGAATTTTTTTCCCTAAGTGTGCTGGTTGTTACTCCATGTTCTCTCCTCTCTGTGCTGCTTGTTGTCTTGTTCACCCATCCACTTGCCTGGTACTTACTCAATGAGTACTTACTGTGTGACAGAGATGAACAAGCAACCTACTGAAGTACTTGACCCTGAACACCTGCATATTGGCTCTAAGGTTCAGATGGGCAAGGATAATCACCTGAGGTGCTGAAAATGCACACCCAGGAGCATTGTGCTTAGACTTGGCATACACACACACACACACACACACACACACACACACACACATATATATACATATACACACACACATATATACATATAAATATTATAAATGTGTATGTAAGTATGTGTATATATATATATGTGTGTGTATATATTACGTGTGTGTATTTATAGTACATACACATATAAAAATTTTGTTCATGTTCCCGTGTATCTGCAGGGAGTTAGTTCCAGAACCCCCAAGGATATCAAAACCACAGATTCTTAAGTTCTTTAGATAAAATGATGAAATATTTGCATAGAACTCATGAATATAATCCCATAAACTTATAATACATAATATAATGTGAATGCTATGTAAGTAGTTGTTATACTGAATAGTTAATGATAAGAAAATAAGTGCATACAATTGTTTTGTATTATTTTTCATCTGCAGTGGGTTGAATATGCAGATGCAAAACCCACAGATACAGAGGACTGATGATATATATTTTTTAAATCAATACATATTTAAAACATGCCTTTTCCTCTTTCCATCACTTCCTAAGATATTCTGCCTTTAAGCCATTAAGTGGGGCAAAACAGGGTGGGTATCTGCAGAGAATGTGAGATGGGAGAATCAAAATATGATCATGGTCAGACCTAAAGAGGGTGAAGAGGACTATTTCAGGTGGGAGAAAGGAGATTCCAGCATAGATGGGAGATTGCTCACAAATAAGGAGACTGATCAAATGAATGCAAAATAATAATAATATTAATAGAAATAAGGCTTTTGGAGAAGAAAGTTACAAGTAGAATGAACTTTGTGGTATTGGGCAAGAATTGGAGGTATCAGTGAACTCATGTTTCCTGTAAACATTGAAGTAGATCATAGAGAGAAAGAGACATGAAACTAAAGATGCAAATTACATGTGTATGTATAAACTTCAACCACCTATGCCAAGGATCAAGAAACTGCTCCAAAACTTGATAGGAGGATACTCTAAGGATGTAGAACTACTGAAATAAGTCACAATGACAAAATCAAAGAATATTTGAGCGTTAAAATACCACAAATGTATTATAAACCATTGAATAAAAGAGAAAACCAGAAATCCATAGTGTTGTTAGTAAGTGTATAAAGGTTCAGTGAGGTATGGAGTATTTGCATATATCCCCCCACACAATGCTTGCTAATTCCATAGAGGAAATAAGCTGCTCTGCAGGAGTGAGCCCTGGCAGATGAAGAGTGACCAAGTCACCATCTCCCACAGTGGGACAACCTGCCTGCCATTCCACACCACCTGATAAGAAACCACAAGGACTCAGTGTGACCCAATTTATTAATGAGGAAACATAGAAACCCAAATTAAGCTCATTCTATGAAAGGCCTGACTTATAATCTTCAAGGTCATGCAAGTGTCAAGGTCATAGAAGTCAAGGAAATCCTAAGAAACATTCCAAGCTGAAAGAATCTAATGTTTAGGCATCACAGCTAAGAGCAGCTCAGGATCCTGAGCCAGAGCCTTTGTTCTAAAGGGTATTATTGAGACAACTGGCACACCACCATGAATGGGGTCTGGTGACTTGATGTATCCTTGTTAATTTCAGATTTTGTGTTCTGGTTGTGTAGAAGATCGTCCTGCTCATAGCAATACACACTAAACTTCTCCAGAGTAACTGGGCATCAGATTAAAGATTTATTTCCAAATAGCCAAGGTGGGGGACTACTTCCAAACATTTTGAACTATTAAAATAAGGTAAATTGAATCAGGAAAAGAAAAGAAAAAATATAGGCATTATAATATAAATATTTTTATAATTTATAAAATTATAAAAATATTTATATTTTATAATTTATATTTTATAATATAAATAATCTTATAATTTTCCTAGATGTTTTAGTCAACTTTTTCACTGCTATGACTAAACAGACCTGACAAGAAAAATTAGAACAGAAAAAGGTTATTTTGGGGCTCCTGGTTTCAGAGCTCTCAGTCCATAAACAGTTCCATTCCTTGGGGTAAAATATCCTGGCAGAAAAGTGTGCTGGAGGAAGGTAGCTCAGGAAGCAGAGAAAGAGGTCTGTTCAACAAGGACAAAGTACATACCCCAAAGGCACAACCCCAGGGACCCAGTTACCTCCACATTAATCCCTATCAGGGGATTAGCTTAAATCTCCTATAACCCAATCATTTCATCTAAACTTTCTTACATTGTCTCACAAATGAGCTTTTGAGGGACGCCTAATATCAAAACCATAACACCAGAAATCACAGCATTTGTTCTGGAAATAATTGAATCAGTTGGCTGAGAGATATGAACATGGAGCTATTGCCTCAGGCCTGTGCCAACCCGTGCAGTATCAGCACAGGACTTGTTCCAGCCTCACTGCCCAAGTCCAAGGATGCTGAAGTCCCTTCCGTAAAATGGCCTAGTACTTACATATAGCCTAGCATGTACTTTAAATCCTCCCTAGATTACTAGTAATACCTAAAACAAGATATGCCTACGCATCACTCCATTCATGTGATATAGTATAGTGCTTGGAGCACAGCAAATTCAACTTTTTCCTTTAGGAAATTTCTGGAATATTTTATTTGTTCACTTATTTTCGTATTGGGGATTGAATTCAGAGGCACTTTACCACTGAACTATGTTCCCAGTCCTTTTTGTTTTGTTTTGTTTTTACTTTGAGATAGGGTCTCACTAAGTTGCTTAGAGCCTCACTAAATTACTGAGGCTGGATCTTCCTGCCTCCACCTTCACAGTCACTGGGATTACAGATGTGTGTTTTCACACCTGGCTGGAATTTTTTTAGATATATTTTCAACCCTTGTATGTAGAACCCACTGATGCAAATAGTGACTATATTCTCAAATAAGCTTGCATTTGCTGGCTATGGTCCCACCTGTCTAATCTTCAGAGATCTCCCTCTCTTACTTTGGGGCATCCCCAGGGTGCTCAGTAGCAAACCCCAGAATTTCCATGTGGTCTTGGCTGGACACTGCCACCTGGCTGGCACTGTGGGTATAGCTGATACTCCCATCACATTGTAAGCTCTCCTTTCTATGTGCTCTTCCCTTTGAAGGTGGCCCTGTTATTGGGGGACATCAAGGCTCCAGTCTTCTGCCCAACCATCTGAGAGTTTGAGTGAAAGCAGTTCTTGGCACCCACTCTTTCCTTAAGCCTCAGGCAGGAGCGAGGGGCATGAGCTAAGGAAGGTCCCCCCGGTAGACAGGTTGCACATTCACAATGACTCCCTCCCTCCCACTCTCAGGGTTGAAATGCAGGCAGCCTTCTCCCTGACCTCTTCCATCAGAGTTTTGCTTAGAAGGTTTTTCAGATGTTGGCAGCAATGAACCCCAATAATTTGGAGTCTTATGTTCCCTGGGCGTTCCTGGAGACTCTGAGGCATGAGGCTTCAGCCTAAGCTTCTGTATGTAGAAATGAACAGAAGAGGAGGCTCCATCTTCCAGCCTCCACTGCATCCTTGTTAAACATCCCAGAGAACAAGCTGCCCAGTTGCCACAGGCTCTGGTGGGCTACCTGTACCTGCAGAGAGACCAGCAGCCCTCACCTGCAGATTCTCTCTGACTTGTCCCCTGAGACCACACAACCCAGGGTGGGAGTGGGAAGCTGGGACCTGTGCATCTGCCCTTGGTGGATGGCATGGAAGGTATCCTTAGATGGCACAGCTGGCCAGGACTCTGAAGATAGGATCCAGAGAGGGAATGCTCAGTCCCCACAGAGTCCCTTCCATTTTCTCCTTCCTCCATTCCAATCTAGTCTAATGACAAGCTTACTTCATTTTGTTCCCTAGTGTGGACAACTCTGAGGACCCTGTGTACGAGAGCCTGGAGGAGTTCCACGTTTTTGTCTTAGCCCATATACTAAGAAGACCGATTGTCGTCGTGGCAGATACAATGCTGAGAGACTCAGGTGGAGAGGGTGAGTGCCTCAAGGAGATGTAGTTCATCATGGCCCAGAAAGCTTCAACGTCCCCCTAGAAGAACAGTCAGCCACCTTCTTCTGTTCATTATGTTCTTTCTGGGAGTTTTTAGGCTCCCAGAAGGCCACCAAGCCTCCCTCTGCCCAAAGATCACATTATTCCCTGTAGTTCTTCCTCCCTGGAGGCAGCAGATGGCAGCAGGCACTGCTCTTGCCCATCTTCTTGCAAGTCAACATCAGGTAGCCTTGAGAAATCTGGCTGTTGGACTGCTAGGAGCCCCCATCATACGTCCAGAGCACAGCAGACAGCCTATTCTCTCCAAAAGCTCCAGGCCTTGTCTCCCTGGGTGCTCGGCCACTTAAGTCCCCTCCTGTTCCTATGCAGAGTACACAACTGTCAAAGAGAAAAGAAAGGAAGATAGAAAGTGTGAAGTCACGACAGTCCCTACTTTACTGATAGGAAACTGAAGGCCAGAGAGAAGTGTTGCACCATATGTCCTCCCTCAAACCTACAGCCTCCCAGAGTTGCTAGAGTCATGGCAGGGTGCCCCATGGAGCCCACAGGGCCTGCCATACTCTCTGAAGAGGCGGGAAGGAGGAAGAGCCAGATGGTGGGATGCGTGACACCCTCTGGTCCCCCATGCACCTGCCTCACCTCTCAACCCCTCCTCTAGACAATTTTCACTCTCTTCACTCCCATAACCATTATGAACCTATTTCCAGCTAGGCAGTTCCAGACAGTGAGTAGCCCAGCAGCATGATCCTCCAGCCCCACTTAAATTTAAACCTGCACCTTAACAATCTTCCAGGGAATCTACAAATTAGGCTGTGGTTCTTCATGATAAATCACTGAGAAAGTCCGATCTGGCCATGAATGTTACATGCGCAGGAGGCCAGTAGAACACAGGGTCCTGCCTCTTGCCATCACTTTCTCTGTGAGGCCCAGGGACCCAAGCCTGCTGAGGGCTGCAGCTTTCAAGAGCAGTGACAGTACTCATTTGGGGCCCTGCCATGCAGGCCCAGGACCCAGCTCCCAATGCCCACAGACCCACTTCCTTCCATTCTTCCTGCAGCCTCTTGCAAGTGGATCCTCGCCTCTTGCAGGATTCTCCCTTGCACTGACCAATATAGATAGAGCAAGGGTAGGGAAGGAACCCAAGAAGTCAACAAAGACAGCACTGAAGGTGACTCTTCCTGCATTCTGCTCAGAGGAATGCCATGCATTCCTGACTGGGGCCAAATGCAAGTTTTTACAATCAAAATATTGATGCTGTTTTAGGGAAGATATTTCCAGAAGTGAGTCTGTTTCAGCAAAGATTTTGGGTTTTAACTTCTCTCTTTTTTATAATTAAGGAAACACAAGATTGTGTCTCATCACCCAAGGATTGGACCCTGTTTCTTATTTCCTGGCTGACTTTCAGCTTAGTGTTAGAGCTCTCTGGTTCCTTCCTTCAGATTCAACAGAAGAGGCTCTCAAAATAAAGAACAAACACACTCTAAAGATGTGAAGATATTGTTTTATATGCAAACATTTTAATGGACACTAGGAAAGGGAGAGATACATCCAGAAAACACATGGCTTTCCAAGTGGACTGAAGAGCATGTTATTCTGACCATCTTGGTTTCATCCCTGACCACAGGGCTCTTGATCACCCGTGCAAGTCTTAGGGCATCCAGCCATCCAGGATGAGAACAGATCACCATAGAAACCTGTCAGCCCTGGCCCTCAGTATTGTTTGTGTCACCCTTTCCTCCCCTCCTGGTTCAGAACCTCCTGCTCCTCAAGCCTCCCCCCTGTTTTTGTCTGTAGCCTTTGCACCCATCCCATTCGGAGGAATTTACCTGCCTTTGGAGGTACCTCCCAACAGATGTCACTGCTCACCTCTGGTTCTAGCCTACGATCAAGCGCATTTCTCAGCTCTCGTGTCCATGGAACAGAGAGACCAGCAAAGAGAACAAGGTATGCCTAGCCCCTGAGAGACAGGGCGCACAGGGGTCGGGGAGGGCAAAGCCATGGAAAGGGACAGCCTCGGTGGGCAGAAGAGATGCAAGAGATGGAATGTGGACAGCTCTCTTTAGAAGCACACCTGTGCACACACAGCAGGGATGGTTTCTACATAAAACTACTGTACGTGTGTGCAAATGTTTCCACTAAAAATAACAATGTCAAAGACAATGTTTCCTTTAAAAAATTGAACAAAAATAATAATTCCACCAGGCTTAAATGGCCTTTCCTAGTTGTTCCTTTTTCACATGTATGCATATATATTTTTAATTTAAATTTTATTTTAACTGATACATAAGATCATAAAATTATGCATTTATGGGATACCATGTGATGTTTTGATACATGTACACACTGCATAATCTTCAAATCAGGGTAAACATATACCTATCTCTTTAAACACTTTTTTTCTCTCTCCAAACATTTATCAGTGCTTTATGTCGAAAGCTTTCAAAATCATCTAGATTTTTAAAAGACGGTGTCCCTATTTTAAAGGGGTTTCTAAAGATTACATCTAAGACCAATTATTGTTAATATAATACATGCATATTTATATAGCTATAATTCATCTGAGTAATAATTTTAAAAAGAAAGTCCATCTAAAGCAGGGATTAGAATACTATGGCCCACCACCTATTTTTATACGTAAACTTTTGTTGGAATAGACACATTCATTATCTGTGACTGCTTTTGCATTACTATAGCAGAGTTGAGAGTAGCCACATAGTCTGGGTAGCCTACTAACTACTGCTGTACAGGAAATGTTTACCCATCCTGCTCTACAGTAAGCTTCTGAATCAAGTGGTTGATATTTCCCTTCATTACAGCCAAGTTTCCACAAGTAACCATATCAGTACTTTTGTGGTCACTGGGCTGTCCCACAGGCTATACAGGCTGCACACTGTACAGTTCCAGCCACCTGCCCTAGGCACATGTAGGACTTGTTCTCAGTCAATACAATGTCTTTGCTGGGGAACTTGGGTGTTTTTCTGTTTTTGTTTTTGTTTTAAGTTTGCTGTTTTCTCGTGTTAGCCCTGATAGCTGTGTGATTAGCTGAGTTGGGAGAGGAATCTCTTATCATTCTTGTTTTCACTGTAGGCAGATTATGTCCTAGAAGACTGAAGGGTAGGCAGGCTAGGCTAGTTTCAGGGTCCCTGCGTTTGAGTATAGTCCCAAGAATTCCAAGGGCTTTGTCCAGGCCTCCCACAGGGGAGGAAGCTCAGGGTGTTCAATTCTAACCTTTTACACTGAGTATGTAGCCTGGGAAGTAAATACAGTGCTAAAATTGCGTCATCAGGGCTTCCGAAGGCTACCCCTTCCTGAAGATAGCTGGCGCGGAAGGGATGCACACGATATATCGACAGAACTCTGCCTCCTTCAGCTCATCAATGTGTTTGCCTCTTGGCCTGCTCCTCAGGAGTAAAGGAGTGAGGAGCTATTCCCCTTCCCAACAGCTGAGGGAGACTCAGAAAAATCACACATTTGGTGCAGGTGGGGATGTAAGGATTGAAAAGGAGACAGAGACTGGAACCAGCTGTAATAGGAGTATCTTCTTTATTATTTATAGACCTCTTCATACTGCGACAGAAAGAAATATTGAATCACTAAAACCTGGGAGGTTTTTTACCTTTTTTGTTGTTGTTTCTTTGCTTTGTGTCCAGTGGCACCTACACCTCCTTCCTGAATTTTCATTTTTCCTTTTTGGAGGCAGGATCTCTCTATCTTGCCCAAATTGGTCTCAAACTCCTGGGCCCAAGTGATCCTCCTGCCTCAGCCTCCCAGTAGCTGGAACTACAGGCAGTGCCAGTGTGCCCAGCCTTCCCTGGGTTTTTAGCTCTTCTCAGGACTTGCTACAGCTCTTGCAAGGTGAGAAGGCCTTTCTCAGGATCTGGAACTCAGGCTAGGGACTTGGCCTCCCTTTTCAGTGCCCTGGAAAGTTTCTGTGGCCACAGAAGAATGATAATCCCAGGGTTGACATCTCCCATAGCTGAGCAAGGGGTTCAGATGCCCAAGGCCTCCTCACAGAGGCACTGAGCTATCTTTTAGGCCCTCTAGATTCTGCTTTTGGGTGTTTCTCCAATGAGTATTAAGGTATCCTTCAATAAAAGGACAACTGTGGAGGATGCTACTGCCTGGCCCTTCTCAGGAGTGTTGCAGAGGTGTGGGTGGTTTTGCTCCTAAGGACCTGTTTTGGGGTTTTGTTTTGTTTTTTCCTGACAATGGGCTCTGGCCAGAGTTTACTATACAAGCAGCCACAGTGGGGCAGCCAGGGCTCCCACTCAGCTGTGAACAGCCTGCTAGACCAGTCCTCTGAGCCATTGCTCAGCTCTGCACATTCACCCATCCAGTACTCTCAACCTGCAGAAGGGTAGATGCTGCTCTGCTGCCTTCACACAAGCCTGCAGAGGTAGAGAACATAGGAGCAGCTCCCACACCCTGGGTAGCTTATGATCAGTGCCAGGTCCTTGAGAGGACAAAAGGGCTCTGCAGACTGGGAACCTTTAAGTACAAAAAATAGCTCCCCAGTATCCCCTAGAGAGACACTTTCAAGACACCCCTCAGGGATGCTGGAAACCATAAATGATACCTTCCTTCTGGGCCTGTGACAGGCTGCAGGAAATTGGTGAATACCAGACCCTAGCAATTCAATCTCTATTGCACAGGGGTTGAGGGTGATGAGGAGAAACAGAAAAGACATAAGAACCCCAACCAGGAAACAGACTCAGCCTCTCTTCACAGCCTTTATGGTAGAAAGGAAGCAGTGCAGAAAGTCATTGATCTAAGCCCCTTAATGAAGATATGTCCAGAATAGCATTAGGCTGCAAGGGACTGAAACAGGAACAGCTGTTGTTGCTTCTGTAACAGAGATGCCTGAGGATACAGAAACTCTAGATATTCTCCAGAACTCAGGCCCCCAGCCTCTCCCTGATCCATCCTTATTTTGTGATCTCAGCCTCATGGTCATATGGTGAGTGCTACAGCTCCAGGTATTACATTCACATTTGGCTGGGCCAAATGCCTCTCTTTCTAAAATGTTTGTCTTCCATGTGGAAAGAAAGCCTCCCCACTTCATGTACCCATAGCTGAACTCCCCACTTGCAGTTTCCTGGCTGCAGAGCAACCTGAAAAGTGCACTGGGGGAAGGAGGAAGCAAGCCAAGTCTGAATTGGCATAAGAGACAGTATGATGTTTTCCAGGCATTTCCATCTGGACAGTCCCCTTACACAAAAGTGTATAAATAAATAAATTCTTTTATCAACTGGACCCTTGTCTGGAAATAAACCACGATTGGCTGATAGGTTTTCAATCAGGATGGATGTACCCATTCCCCTCCAATAGCATGGTGCCTAAGGCTGTCAGTACTTTCTTTCTTTGAATGTTCAGAGATAAGCAGACTTGTTGTCCCCCAGTACCACTCAATTCCCTTTGCATCTCAAGAGTCAAGAGTGCATGTACACTTGTGGCCCTAGCAGTGGCTCCAGACATGGCAGCAGATAGCTGATTCAGTGATGTGCTCCCATGCCTCCCACATCTAATACCATCTGGTAGTTTCATGTTGAGGCAGCCTCTCTCTCCTTGAACCCTGGGCCTCTGCCAGGAGTCTCCGAAGCAGCAACAGAGCTCTTAAGATGGCTTCTGAGCTGAGAACCTGGCTGGCACAGGGCCTTCTGCTCCCCGCTTAAAGTCTCTAGCTCCATGCCTCTGGGCCATGTTCAACTGTGCCCCAGAAAGCCGCCCCAGCCTTTGTTGAAACAGGAAGCTTCCTGCAGATACTTGTCATCTCTCAAAGATGAGGTCACCATCCCCACTGGCATCCTCATCCCAGAGGATGGGCAACTATAGAAAAAGAAAGTGGGAAAACAGTCTTCACTCATTCCTGGCCAGTCTCCTGGGTGCCAGTTAGATACCTTCAGCTTCCAGAAGTGGAAAGTCAACTCCAAGTGGCCTTCATAGAAGATGTGAGGGGAAACACCCATTTCCTGTGACAGACAGAAGTGTGCTTCTGCCAACCCTAGTGGTTTTCAGTCCCCAGAAGAAGACCAGGAAGAAAGATGTGGCTTGGGTCCCCTGCCATCCCAGTCTCCCACTATCCCCCTTCTCCTTTATCATCCCCCTGCAGACAAGACCCAGGGTTTAGGAGCAAGGAAGTTCCTGCTCACATCACATGTGGCTGCTCAGCAGGGGCCAGCCTGAGCCAGAGGCATGCAGCAAGGAGTGTGTGTAGTCACTGGAGATGCTCCTTCTGACCAAGGGAATTCAGGCAATTAGGAAAGAGAGCTGATAGTGCTATCCAGACCCAACTAGGGAACCCAGCACAGCCTCACAGGCAAGGATAGGTACATGCTGAACCCTGGCTATGGGGGTTCAAGACCAAGGAGTTCAAGACCAAGGAGAAACCGACATGGCTCTGGGAGCTTAAGGATGAATGAGAAAGTATTGCTGAATGGAGAGGGAAGAGATGGGCATCTCATACACGTGGAACCCAAGGGTCCATTCAAAAGGCAGAACTTCTAGATATCTAGAGATTTGTGAATCAATTTGTCATCATAAAACTCTCTTGACCAATGGACGTGCATGCAGATCCCTTTACAGCTTACTCAGTGGGTATGCCCCCTGGCTCCTCAGCCACCAAATCTAATCCTGGGACCTATTATACCTGGTGGTAAATTATTTATCAAAGTCATATTCTGTAGATCCAAGCCCCTAGCAGATATTTGGAATGTGGCTAATTTCCATACCTACTCTCCAGTGAAAGTGGGGATGTCCCTCTGGGGTGGCACTGCAGAGCAAAAGAGTCACGTGGGCAAGGGATTCAAAAGCCTAATCTAGTGCCAGGTACTCCAAAAGCAGGGTCTGAGTCTGGGCAACAACCAGCTAGCCCATGCTCAGCAGGACAGGTCACAGGTGGGCTCTCATACTCTATGAACACCGTGCGGGGGCCTGGAAAGTACCTA